TGTACCAAATGAAGATGTAAAAAATAAATAATTTTAAAAATCAAACTTTTTATGTATTTAAAATAGCCAAATAGTATTTAAAATGTGTGGCAAACTCCATTTATATGTATGAAGAGCAAATATGTCAATGTTGGTATTGTAAACCCTTAAACCCAGGAGATTCAACATCTGTTTCCTACTCTTAAGCTCTGGCTTTATAATGCCACATGGACACAAACTCTTGAGTTCAATTTCCCCATCTGTGAAATAAGGGATGGGATTTTATTATCTAAAACTGATTTTTTGTTAAAAGTTGTTAGCAGTTTATATATATTAACAACTTATATGAAGATCATCTTTGAGCAGATGTATTATTTTCCAAAACATAGTTTACAATCTACAAAAAAAAGACACTACCAGGCTTCAAATTATACAACAAAACATTAACGAAACAACATGGTATTGGAATAAAAATAGAACCACAGGTGAGTGAAACAGAATTGAGAATTGAGAGTCCAGAAATAAACTCACTTCTAATTTATAACAAAGGAGCCAAGAACATACAGTGCAGAAAGGAAAGTCTATTTGACAAATGATGTAAGGAAAACTGGACAGCCATTTAAAAAAAAAAAAAAAAGTGAATCTAGACTACTATCTCATGCCAAACAAAAAATTATTTCAAAATGGATCAAAGACTTGGATGTAAGACCTAAAAACATAAAAACAGGAGAACCACTCCATGACATTGTCCATGAAGATGTCCTTGGTTTCTCAAATCCAAGGGATGTAAGAGCAAAAGCAAGACAAACAAAAGCAAAAGTAAACAAATGGAACTATCTCAGCTATCTGGAGTTGTAGCCAACAACGCAGAAATAAGTATAAAAAATTTGGACCAGATTACCACTTACACTATGCCTAAAGACACCATATTCAAAAGAGCCATTCCACTTCCTTTTCTTTAGTTCACTTATTTTCAGAATTAACCCTGTTTTGTGGCTTATCAGTCTATGAAGTGACAGGTATAGTAACCTTAAGTCTTGTATGGAAGAACTTAAAAACACTTAAGACACCCATATATAAACTTGAAATAAACAGCAATGATAAATGCTTCTAATGACCCTGAATCAATAGGAAAGTATTTTCTGAATGTATAATAAGCTAATAGACCACTAAGTGTTTTAGGAATATTCTCATACAAGATGGCTAAAATAAGTTTGTGCTTAAGACTAATCAAGAAATTCTCAATATAAGCAAAACTTGTGAAAAAACAATGGATAAAGTACCTAAGATACGATTTATTGAATACTGTGTGTTGAGCATTATTTTAAGCATGTCATAAGAATTTTCTTATTTAATTTTCATGGCAACTCTAAAATACTTATTCCCACTTTCTATGAGGAAACTGAGGCACAGAAAGGTTAAGAACCTTTCCCAAGGTCACAAAACTAGTAAGTAGGTAATCAAAATTGAAGCCAGATTAGATGACTTCTATTTTTCCATCCTAAATACTGAAAACCTGTTACCAGGCAGATACTATCCAACCTACTTCTTCAAATGTATCAATATTAAAAAGTTCCATACACAGCATTCACCAGTATTCTTGAGGTATTTTTTTTAATTATGTTAACTACCTTCATGTTTGTAATAGGGTAGCACACTGAAAATGTAATGTACTAACTACATAACCTATGTATAATTGTCTTCTAATTTACAATAAGAAAAATTAACACTTTGTACATGGTTGACCTAATTACTGGCAAAAGGTAGCAATATAAATATTAGTATCAACACTACCTTGTGATTATAATTCTTTTAAGAAGCTAAGTTACTTTACCAAGGATGACTTGGAGATTTTCAAGTGATTCAAATATATAATTTTGGTCCTTTATAGCCACTAGCTTAGCTATACTTGAGGAACTTTTTAAAAACTAGATGATTAAGTGTAGTTTTTTAAACATTACTAGTTGACTAATTTGATATTAATTTCCACTAAATAACTTACCCAGTAGAAATGATCATAATAATGGACATGAAGATACTCACTGAAGTTAGATGAGAAATACATGGACAAAGTGAAAGTTTCAATGAAGACATATAGACAATATTAAAAAATACCAAATAGAAAACAAAGAACTAAATAAAAATGTGAAAACTTCATAGATGTGTCAACAACTGACTCACCAGCAGTTTAAAAAAAAAAGGCAAGAGGGCCTCCCTGGTGGTGCAGGAGTTAAAGTCAGTACTATCAAGATGTCAACAACCACTGCAACACAATTCCATCTCCAGCCAGGGAGCTACCCACAAAATACAGCAGACCCTCATCTCACCTGCTGCTCCCCTCTGCAGTGTATTTCAGTACATTCATTCACCTATTCTGCTCCCCACTCTGTCTCTGGTAAATCCTCTCATCCTTCTGCACCTCTAGTCTACATCCCGCTCTTGGATGCAAATAAATAAAAATAAATCTTTATTTTAAAAAAAATGGCAACAGAGGAGATAAGTAACAGCAGCAATCCCAACAAATCAATATAACAGTCCAACTCTTCACAGACCTAGAGAACTAGTAATTTTTTTTTTAGCAGAACAAGACTTCAAAGACAATTTTGTTAACAAATAACCAACAAAAGTTTTTTTTTTTAATTAACATATAGTAATAACAATATGAAGGGGAAGAGGAAGCACAATAGAAAAGTAGGTAGGGGTACCCTTGAAGTATAAAACTAACTAAAATGTGTCATTATTTTAAATGTGAGGGTAGAGAGAGGGATAAGAAAAATTCATTGTTTAAGACAATGCTCTTCAGAAGTAGCCCTGAAATTATGATACTGCAATTTATAAAGAACTGTAAACTTAGTATGTGATTTGGCCTAAAGTGATTATTTACATAATATCTCACAGACTATTACAGATTTTCAATATTGTAGCACAGTATAATTACTAGTAACCTTAAAAATTAAATGTATAGGCCCTCCCTGGTGGCGCAGCAGGTTAAAGCACAACACTGAGAAGCTAAAGCTATTTCCCCATGAGTTCGATCCCCACCTGCCCCGGAGGTGACACATGGCGTGGCAGACCTCTCCTGACCGCCCGCTGCTCCCCTCAGCAGTGTACTTCGACGATCTGCCTGTGCTGCTCCCCGCTCTGTCTCTGGTGAAGCCTCTTGCCGCCCCTGCACCTCTGGCCTGTACCCCAGTTCTGTATGCACAAATAAATAAATCTTTAAAAAAAATTAAATGTATAACGAAGAGAAACATGGGACTTTGACCAGAGGGGATGTAGAATAAAGGGAAGAGATACAAATAGGAGTTTAATTAACCTCTGCCATCCTGTCCACTGTTCCTCTCAGCCTTTGTATTTCAATAAATCCCTTTTCTGGTCACACACAATAAACTTAAAAATTAATTAAAATTACAAAAGCAGCGGGGCCCTCCCTGGTGGCGCAGCGGGTTAAAGCACTGCACTGAGAAAACTAAAGCCACCTCCGCATGAGTTCGATTCCCGCCTGCCCCGGAGGCGACCACATGGCGAGGCAGACCTCTCCTGACCCGCCCGCTGCTCCCCTCAGCAGTGTACTTCGTCGATCTGCCTGTTCTGCTCCCCACTCTGTCTCTGGTGAATCCTCTCACCCTCCGCATCTCTGGCCTGTACCCCAGTTCTGTACGAATAAATAAATAAATCAAAAAAAAAATTACAAAAGCAGCAATAGAAGACTTTAATTTGGATAAATATCTAGCCTCCACCCCTGAAGAGAAAAGAATAGGGATAGGAAAAGGAGAAACTGACTAGGTTAATAAGTAAATGCTATTCACCCTAAGAATATTACTTGATCTTTTCCCATTTATATTCTTTAATAAAAATATTTTTAACTCAATATTTTCATTTATTCTAGAACCTCAAAGTATTTTATTTTTTTTAAAAAGATCTATTTATTTATGCATACAGAGGTGACAGTGATTCACCAAAGGGGGATGCGGAGGGGCAGAACAGGCAGATCCATGAAGTATACTGCTAAGAGGAGCAGTAGCATTTTAAATATTCAGTCCAGATTAAGTTTTCTGTGCTCTCATGCAAAACTCTGCTTGCCTCCTCTTAATTTTGCTTCCTCAGCTTGCCACTCTAAGTCTGATCTGCTTTTTCTATTCTCTTTAAGCTATAACAAGTCCCCCTTTTCCTTAGACAAACCAAAAACTTTTACTTTTACTTGATTGGTATATTCCACACAACTTCATCTCATTTTTCTTTCCTTTTACTTCCCCACCAAAAAAAAAAAAAGTCTTTAATTCACCCCCTAAAATAAGGGTTTTGAACACCAACTGAATAATGATTTTAATGTCCCTCATTATACTAAGTATTTTATCCAAACATTTTAATTGGTGCCTTTCTTTTTTTCCCCCCAAAATATGGGTGAGTACAAATATATATAATACCTCACAAGAATAGTGTTCCAAAGAACAGTTGAGGAAATGCTCTCAGGGGATTCCAATTACAAACTTGTCATTGCTTTTTTCCAGAAAATGAAGAGAAAAAAATCCAAATAGAGAATTAAAACAACCAACTTGTAGGCACATAAATATTGTAATATTAATTATACTTAACTTCCTTTCCTTTCATAATCATATTAATGTTCAAGAATACAAACCTGAGTTAGGGAAACATTCTAAAAATATTGAGTCCAAAACTCAAAATGATGGTACAATTCCTCAATACTGCTCTATAGTAAACGTCAACATCCCCACTAAAAACAGTAAATATCTTACAAATGAAGACAAAAACAAGAAATAAATAAAACTTGATCAGAAGTCCAAACAAACTGAAAAGACTGAAATTTAACATGAGACAATGTCCTGGTTTTCTTTAAAATATAATCAATTCTTACTTTTTAAAAAATGTATTGATTTGTTACTTTCAGTCATTTATGTCTATTTACAAGAAACATAATACATTTTTGGTAAGATAACTGAATGAGAAAGACCCATGTGAAACTACTGACAGGAAAATCACTAACTAGTTGAGCCACATGGAAAAACTAGCTGATTTTATTATCAATACCAAACAAGTCTTTAAATGAATTAACATTTATTTAATTAAACATAGTTACTTTCACACTTGTCTACAGCAACAGTAAATACAGTTCTTGGCATAAACACAGCCTTTGGAGATTAAAACATACCTGCAAGACTGCATATGTAGATTTCCCATTATTATTTATGTGATAGTGGATCTGCTAATCAAATTAAAATCATTACACTATCTAGAATAAAATAAAAAGGAAATAATTTACTCATAAGATTCATATTTAAATCATCTTTATTTACAAAATACTATCCTGAGAATTATAATTTCATTAAGCTTCAATTTGAGCAAAAGTATAATCACTTAAGTAACAGCAGTTACTTAAACTGAAAATGAGAAGTCAAAAATACTTTTGAGAGGGACTAAAAATTTTGTCAAGTTTCTTGCTGTGGTTCTGCATTTTCAGTAGTAGGCTCATTTGAAGGCAGAGCAGACTCTGAAGGAAACACACTTCTACTTTCAAGATGTGGGGGTGGGGGAAAATATCCAGCTCTTGGATGTAGATAAGGAGGGAAACCTCTTGGTGAATAGACATTTCTCACTGTTGAAAGAGATTGATAAAAGACATTTTTAATGTTAAGCATCTCTACTGTAGTCCTAATACATTATTAGCTTAGAATTTCCAGCACCTATTTATGTATCAAAAATTGACACCAGTATAATTAATCTAATAAATGAAATTTTATAACATTTAGAAAAGTACACCTTCACTACACATGATTAAAGGAAACAGTATTAATTTTACACATATTCTTTTACCTATGAAAAGACAAATTATTTCCTGATTAAAAAATTCCTTTTAAAAAGTTTTCATGTATAACTTTCAACAACTTAAAATTCAGATCAGTAGTTCCTAATATTAACTTGGTGTTATCCTAAAATATTTCCAGTTAAAAAAAAATTAAGGCCCTCCTTGGTGGCGCAGCGGGTTAAAGCACAGCACTGAGAAGCTAAAGCCACTTCCTCATGAGTTCGATTCCCACCTGCCCCGGAGGTGACCACATGGCGTGGCAGACCTCTCCTGACCCGCCCGCTGCTCCCCTCAGCAGTGTACTTCGTCCATCTGCCTGTTCTGCTCCCTGCTTTATCTCTGGTGAAGCCTCTAACCGCCCCTGCACCTCTGGCCTGTACCCCAGTTCTGTATATACAAATAAATAAATCTTTAAAAAAATAATAAATTGGAAGATCTCCTGCCCACTTGTAACCAGGAAGGTGCTGCTCCTTCCCTTTCAAGTGTTAAAAGAAAAAATTGACATCCCCCAAATAAAATTCAATTTAATTCACCTTAAACATTAAAAACAATGGAGAAATACAGGAAGGAATGAACATCAAATAATAGGCTTTTTGCACAGCATTTGTAACCATGTATTCTGTAAAAATCTACATTTCTACATGGGAATGTATAACTATGAAAACAAATTATTTTTTTCCTACATGAGCTATGGAAGAATCTCAATAAATTCAACTATTGACTACTGAGTTGACTAATCAAAGAAGATGAGGTTATATATAAGTACGGCTACCCGGGGACTGACACGAGCTATGCAACCTCTGTCATCAGACACGGTCCAGATGGAGGGGAATTGCTCTGAAAAATCAGACTTTCCATGCTAACTTATGTTATGACCTCCCTTTTTTGTATAACCGTAATATCAAAATATTCTGAGCAACTTTCAGCTTACAATTGGATTGCCTCAGCCGCACAAGGCCTGCCTTCCTTGACAAGCAAGCTCTGCACCAGGGTGAAAAAATTCCCCTGAAGTCAAGTGACTTGACTACTGACTGATAAATAAAAGCAAAAGGGCTGTTTTTGCAAAGTCTCTCTCACTGCCGGATGGAGGACAACCCAAATCTTATCATTCTATTATCTCACCTAGCCTTCTATTCAGCTTTTTAAAGAATTACTCAAACTTCCTATTGTTTGGCCTTTAGATGTGGAAATTCATCCAGTTTGCTTGTTTTTTAAACTAATCAAGTTTTCCACCTGCTACACCTTAAAGGAATCCACAAAAGTCTTCTGGCTAGTTTTTCAGGATTCTATGTAGTCTTTAGATAAAGAAATCCACCTATGTCTCCTATTCAGAGATTTGATTAGCAAGGAATTTCCTCTTCTGTCTCCCAGGATGATTAAGGCAGCAAAACAAACCCATTAAGTAGTAGATAAGGTTTAAGGGACTTCTATATTAGTTGATCTCCACTATAGTAATATTAGTCATAGATTTTGTGCACTTATGTACCTGTTTTTTACCTTGATTGATTTTAGAATGTTGTAATCTCAAGCTAGGGTCAAAACAACCCCAAACTGTTCTTAGGAAAAACAAAGATGATTGTAATCTCTCAGCCCAGTTTGTGTGCTGATGTCATCTCACTGCTTGCTCGTAATGTATAAAATAAATCTCTGCTGAAGGCAGAGCAGGAAGACTTACACCCAACTCTGACTCCCGTGTCTTCCTCGCTCCCGCTCTCCAATTTTTAGAATATCGCCTCGCCGACGTCGTTCCCACCTTGAGACTCTGCCCGTGATAGCCTCTCTACAACCTGACATTGGGGCTGGTCCCCGACAGGGGACTATTTATAAAAAAGGTTTTTTAAGATATTTTACCATCAATTTTAATACTAAAATATAAATTATAATTAGTTTTGCAGTTTCTAGCAAGTAAGGTACAAATAACTTTCACCTTAACATAAGACTGCTACAAAAGCTAATGATTTTCTTGACTATTGAAATATTGAAATTCACATTATCACTGAAGCCTCAGTATAATCTAGTGATAGCTGATTAACTTCCCAATTTGGAAAAGAATATGAGAAAAATTGAAAAAATATGAGAGTATTTTGAAAAAGAATTCTCACAATATGAGAAAAATTTTCTTCCACTGTTACTCCATAAGTAAAACTTTGATTTATTCTATAAAACATATTAAGTTTTTTTAAAACACATACTTGCAAATGAAGGAGGTGGCAGGCCAGGGAAATCCCTTGGTGGAAAATAGTCTCGGGGAGTTCCATACATACTTCCTGGAGGAGGTGGAGGAAAAGGAGGACCTCTTCTCATGAGCGGCCCCCTTGTGTCCACTGGAAACAATGGCCCTCTGACTGGATGAATGGGAGGAGGGACAAAGCCACGGCCAGTTGCTTCACTTTCAGCAGGGAGAGATGAGTCTGACACATTTAAATTCTATAATAAATTGATATACAACAGTCACTAAACATCAAATTTTCCAATATATTTCCAGAAAATCTTTAGGCCTAAAAGAAAGCATCTAGACACAAAGCAGTCTATAATAACTGTAAATGGCTCCAGAGAAATCCTCAGTTTTTCATATCAGATGGACTTTAGCTCTTACAAGTGTTTTAGTAATTCACTAGAAAACAGCTTTAACCAACAAAGTAAAATTCTGGCTAAAGATAAACAAAAATGGTCCCAAGAGCACCATCAAAAATACACATTCTATTATCAAGTATATACTGAAAAAAAATTTTTAAGTTTGTATTTTCAAAGAAACCAAGGACTATAAACACAATAAAGACAAATATAACACATCAAACAAAACTCCAAGGGAAATTCCAAATTCTACTTTAATTAACAAAAAAAAAATTTCAAGTTTCTGGTCTGTAAATAGTACTTTATAGCCACAAGGTAAAATCCAGGGAAAGGAAAGAAACAGCTGCAATGCTAATTAAGAAATATTTGTTAAAATGAAAGAATAAGTTGATATAATAAAACTAATTAAATTCCCTTTCTAGTAAAACAGCAGGCTCCTGAACATGTAAGAAATCCGACTTTCAGTACTTACACTGAGATCTTCTTTGCTATCCATCCTACTGGATTCCATTGGCCCATCTAGATATAAAAATTAAGCCATGAAAAATACAAGATTTATCACTCACTCTTAGATATCCCCAAATCATAAACTCCTCACTTCCCCTTGGCACATAAACCAACTCGACACCATGTTCAATATGTTAGAGAACAGTTTGAACTACCTGGAAATTTTGCAGATGCCAAGTCCTAGAAAGCCTGTAGCAGTGATTTCTTCAGTTTGTCCACAGATATTCCTGCTGCAGAAGCAGCTTAAGGAAATTTCTGGAAGGTAGCATCATCCTCTTTGCTTTTTTCCTGCCCTAATTCTTCCTTTTCTCCCTTCCTCTGTCTCTCCTTCTTTCCTTCCCTCCCTCTCATTCATCCTTATTGTATATGAAGTAACAGATTAACATATCCATTTATCCCGTTTGTAATAACTGCTCCTTGACTTTGTTATAATCAAGAACTGCTCAGTCTCTGAGAATATAAATTTAAATGCTTTCTCTCACCACATACCTCACCTCTCCTACTTTTCTGAGTGACTCACCACAGTCCTTCCAGGTCACTAAAGACTCTAGTCCTCTCACCTAGCTCTAGTTTCCTCCTTTACTTGCTTTCCTAATGAAGTGAACTTCAAATTCATGTTTTTGATGAGTCAGTGACCTTGTTTCATTGGCCAGTTTTCACATGTGCTTCCCAACATCCTGTCTATGTTAACCCAACCTTCCACTTCTTCTTTGTCTACACCTGAGCTACTTAGCACTCCTGGGGTAAAATAAACCACAGAGCTGTGCAGCCTGGCACCACTCCAAGCTGACAGATCCCCAGCCATACTTGCAGTTGCTGGCTACCAAGCCTACCATCTGTGCCTTCTAAGCCAGCTTTCTCGTCAGCAATTTCAAACCTCCATTTTTGTTCAAACATAATACCAGTCACTTAGAAACTCTCTTGAACATGTTGTAATCAAACACATAAATCAGCAACTAACTTCCTATGGCCTTTCTTCCTATTTGCATAGAAAAGAATCCTTGTAGACAATGTATCATCCTGGCTCTATGCTCAGATTTCCTGTCCCACACCACAGCTTCCTTAGTGATCTCATCTTTCTGTTGCCTGCCTTTTTCTTTACTGCAATAAACATATTATCAATAAATCTCTCCCAACTACTACTTAAAACTGAAACTAAAACAAGACTCTCCCTTACAGCTACCCCTTCTCCTTCACAGACAAAAAACTGTTAATGCATACTATCTGAAATTCCTCCCATTGTCATTTTACTGCAATTTATTTGCAATATCCACTGCTCCACTAAGATCTTATTTTCACCAAGTCAAAATAGTCTTTTAAACTAAAGTGGGCACCTCCAGTCTTTTCTCACCATTGTTTATTGCTCCCTCCCTCTGTATCCTCTCAGTCTTCAATCACTGTAGTGGACTGATCCATCTTCCTTCTCTCTCCATTCTAGCTGATCCTTCTCAAGCTCCACTACCTCTGACCACCTTTAAGTAGTAGTCTCTAGGAAGTTTCACCTTCAGCCCTATTCCCATTCTCTCCTTACAGTTTTAATTTAATGTATTCTACAAATGACTTCCAGATGTGTCATAATAACTCTAGCTATTTCCCTAGGACTGAACTGCCTACTTGAATAGCCATGCAGATATTATCACAGGTGCTCCTAAGTTTGTAACTTCAAATGTAAATTTACAATCCTTCCCGTCAAACCATGTGCTGTTCCTTTTTCCTTCAATCAGAACAATGAGTGGCCCAGGTGGCAAAGGCAGAAAACTGGGCATCAGCCAAGACTCCTCCTTCACTCCCACATGCTTTCAATCCTATACACTAACAAATTCTATTTTCTCGATATCTAATCATCCACTCTACTAAATCATCAGCATCATTCCTGCAAATTCTTCTGTTTCCTAAAATGTTACCCTCCCCTCTAATCTAGAATACTATGTCTAATCTAGTTAACATAACATAACCAGATTTCTTTAAAACACAGATTGTTGCTATATCAGAAATTACTTAATACAGCACATTATCCTGAAAATAGGGTCAAATTTTCTGGACAAGTTTGGAAAAATCTTGGAAACTATGCACTGCTACCTCTTCATTATTTGTTTCAGTATTTTATGGCTGTACTCCATGCTGCAGCTATAACTTAACTAGGCACTCAACTTTAAATCTTTAAAGATGTCATTGTCTTCCTAGAACAGTATCATCATTCTAACCCAGCTAATTCCTCCTTTAATTTTCAGTTTATATGTCACTTCCTCCAAGATTTTCTTGACTATCACATACTCAAAATAGCAACAACTCATCTGGATTATTGCTCCATATGCTCCCCACATTTGTACTCACTCTTTTGTCACTAATAGTATAATCAACTATAGGCTTCAGCTAGACCTCAAGATACAAGGAATACCGAGTTACTATTCACCAGTGAGATACAGCAAATACCACAGTGCCTGGCTTTGTACATTCTATGGACATTTAATGCATTTATGACTGAGTCTCATTTCAACAAAGTATAAACATCAAGCCACAGTTCGGAAGTCAGACAGACATGGGTTCCAATCCAGCCTCATACATTTCCTCTTGAAATCGCACTATTTTAGTTTTGGTTTCTTCATCTTTAAAATAAGGATAAAAGTATCTACTTCATAGGTTCACTGTGAAGTTTGAATTATCAGTGAATGTACCTCTCACCATTTAACTTCATGTAAATATCATATTCTGCCAAACCAACACCCCCTTCACTGTACTTTTTCTGATCCTTCATCTAGATAAAAGTTTTACCTTTCTGTGAACACAGAATGTTCTTTAGCAGAACTTCTTACTCTGACCACTACTAATTAAACATACATTTGACCTCCTACCCTATTTAATTATTAGCTTCTTAAAACAAGAAACCATATCCTGTAATTATTTTATCTGCCATGTCATGTAGCTTACCTTCTAAACAAAAAGAAATTTAAAAATATTTGCTAAATTGAATATTGTACAATTATGGGAAAAAGTGGACATGTAAAAAGTTATAACAAAATTAGTTTAAAAACAGGGCCCTCTCTAGTTTGCGCAGCAGGTTAAAGCACAGCACTGAGAAGCTAAAGCCACTTCAGCATGAATTCGATCCCCGGCTGCCCCAGAGGTGACCCACATGGCACGGCAGACCTCTCCTGACCCGCCCGCTGCTCCCCTCAGCAGTGTACTTCGTCGATATGCCTGTTCTGCTCCCCACTCTGTCTCTGTTGAGTCCTCTCACCAGCCCTCCACCTCTGGCCAGTACCCCAGGTCTGTAAGCATAAATAAATCTTAAAAATAAATAAATAAAAATAAAAATATATATTTGATCACACATACACTTTCACATCATTAAGGTTGAATTAAGGAGAGAAAATGATTTCAAAAGCCAATCAGAAAGAATTAATTTGTAACTAATAACAGAAATCCAAATCAAAGGTCTGTTTCTTTGCTTATGACTCAAAAAAGATTGATTTTCCTTTAAGTATTCTAACCAGGGCCCTCCCTGGTGGCTCAACGGGTTAAAGCACAGCACCAAGATGCTCACAGCAGCCGATACAGCAGGAGTTTTATCATTGCCCACCAGGGAAGTGACCCGCATGGCGCAGCAGACTGCTCCTGTCTTGCCTGCTGTTCCCTTCAGCAGTGTACTTCATAGAACTGCCTTTTCTGCTCCCTATTCTCTGTGGTCAATCCTCTCACCCCTGCACTTCTGGCCTGCACCCCAGTTCTGTATGCATAAATAAATAAATCTTTAAAAATAAATACTCTAGGCCCTCCCTGGTGGCGCAGGGGATTAAAGCACAGCACTGAGAAGCTAAAGCCACTTCCGCATGAGTTCGATCCCCGCCTGCCCCGGAGGTGACCACATGGCGTGGCAGACCTCTCCTGACCTGCCCGCTGCTCCCCTCAGCAGTGTACTTCGTCCATCTGCCTGTTCTGCTCCCCACTCTGTCTCTGGTGAAGCCTCTCGCCACCCCTGAGCCTCTGGCCTGTACCCCAGTTCTGTATGTACAAATAAATAAATCTTTTAATAAATGAATAAATAAAATAAATAAATATAAATAAATAAATATTCTAACTGGATAATAATCCCTTGTATATTTTTTGAGGAAATTTTTTACCAATAAATTTAGTTTAATATTCTACTTAATCTTTTTATTTTCTTGATGTTTAATATCCCTAACTGACATATGGCTACATACATTTCCCAACTTTAATTGGGTGCTGTGATAAAATTGGGGTTAAAGGAGTACCTAGCAAAGAGTAAATCGCTTAGTAAATGTTAGTGAATCCTATTTAAGTACAGAATGTTTAAACAAGGTAACTGAGTAAACAATCAACAGGGGATGCACTCAAAATTATTTTGTTGGTAGATTTTCACATGTCCATTCACAGTAGCATATTTGGTTACTCAACAGGATATATGTAAATGGACTGAAAAAGCAGAAATATAACCATGGAACAGAATAAAATTGACAGGCATAGGTACATATAGTGAACCTGTTACCATGCTGCCCAAACCAAGCCCAAAATATATGCAGGTGCCATGGCTGTATATACTGTAATAGGAAACATAAAACCAGGAAGCTTTCAGGAAAGAGATTTTGGGCTTAAAAGTTAATTCTTTACTCAACTTTTAGTTCTTTAATATACCACCATTATTAAGGGGAAAAATACATACACAAAGTATTCCTTACCCACTTTATCCAGAGATGGCATATTAAAACTTCTGAGTTCTGCAGGTCCAGATAGTCTACCAGAATTAGTATAAAATCTGTCTTGCCTTTGTGGAGGAAGAGCTGGATCAGGATATAGTTGGCCTACAAACAATTTTTTAAACATTTTCATTAGATTTTAAAAAATCAAGTTTACTTAAGTTTAATATTTTGAACAAAGATGTTTTTCTTGCTTTCACTTCCCTGATAGATAATACTATACAATTTTAGGAAAATTAGTTATTTTCCTAAAGGTATTAACTAGCATTTGGAATAAATACAGTATAATTTGCTACTTTGGATTCGAAAGTTTCCATTAGCATGCATTAATTAGAATATATGAATAGAGTTTAGGTAAATACAGTAATCTAACTTTCAATTTCAGTAGTAGTTAAGTAGTTACATCAATATATCAAAAAAGATATCATTATATCGAAAAAGCAAAACACATTATTGTTCTGCTTCTTAACAAAGAAGAAAAAAAGCAGGATGTTGTTAGTCATAGCAAGAAATTCAGAAAAGCAAACAATAATAAAAGGAATGGTCACACCAAAGTAGGAGTATCACTCAGCAATCATCAGTGATCAACTGTTTATTCACTTCAATATTTTGGGATTTAGCATCTATCCAAAGCTAAAGGGAAAGATCTTTGACTCATCAGATGAATAAAAATCTCACAATGTTCATATTAAGGACATCTGAATAGATACATTTGGGCACAGGCTCCATCACAGGTGAATCCACAACTACCCTTCTTTATTCTCAGTGATAATTTATGATGGCAAAATGGTAATTTTAGGATCTTTGAAAAACTCATCATTTATTATCCATATAGATGCTAAATGATGACAGATTAAGCATCTAAATCCAAAAATAAAAGATTAAAGGGGGTGAAGTATAATTTTCCTATCCTCACATCTATGATTAAAATGCCCTAAACTGCTTTCATGATTGTCCTTGGTAGTGTTGGATATGTCATTCCTCATCTAATTCAGCCACATGGGACCTTAATGACACACACCTCTTGAATACAAAGCCAAGGAAACTATCTGGCATCAAACAGAATTAATGGAAAGAATTATATGTAATAAGCTTCCAAGGGCCAAGTGACATGCCTTAGAAAAGAGAGATCCAGATAAGACTTAAAAGTTCATTTCCTCCCCACTTCAGAACCTAAGTAAAGAGCTGTCTCAAAGTATGTGAATTAACCCAATCGAAGAAACTCAGCATCAACCACTGAGATCTGAGTTTTCCCTTTTTACTTTAAATATGAAATTAATGAAACAGCAGAGTTGGGAAAGGGCATACAGTAAGGGGAACGTACAAATTTTCCAATTCTTTCTTAATCAGGTCTCAAGATTACCACATCACAGTTTTGATTCTAAAATATAATCCTCAGAAAAAAATTTTTGTTATAAGCTTGTATTTTATAAATTATGCTGCATATACCCCCCTCCCCCCACTCCTGGCAAAAATGATCTTTAAATCTGCAAGGACCTATTGTTGGCTAGGCACTATTGACACAAAGTTGGTTTTAATGCAGTTAGTCCTCAGCTTCAGAGTCTGACAGTTACAGAAACAACTAAAAACAATGCATACAGGCCCTCCCTGGTAGTGCAGCGGGTTAAAGCACAGCACTAAGAAGCTTAAGCCACTTCCACATGAGTTCGATCCCCGCCTGCTCTGGAGGAGATCCACATGGCGCTGCAGACCCCTCCTGACCCGCCCGCTGCTCCCCTCAGCAGTGTACTTCGACGATCTGCCTGTTCTGCTCCCCACTCTGTCTCTGGTGAATCTTCTCACCCTCCACATCTCTGGCCTGTACCCCAGTTCTGTATGAATAAATGAATAAATCTTTAAAAAAAAAAAAAACAATGCATACACTATGACCCTTAGTAAAGGGTACACAATCAATAAGATAGGTAGTTTATCTAATTCTGACTGGAGGAAACAGGTGTCATAGAGGAGATAAAGCTTGTGAGTTTTTTAAAGGAAGGTCCTCTACACAAAAATAAAATATGACTCCACCAAAACCTTGCAATGAAATCCCTTGAGAAATGGTTTTATTTTTATGTATCTTCAAACTTTTCAATGAACTTCAAAGTTGAAGAATCTTTGAATGTGACTGCAGAATGAGGTTACTCAAGAGCGGCAGGAGTGGAGATGAAAACAAGGGCTCAAGGGATAAAGGACTATGGAGGATTTAATGTTGGGTGTGGTAACATCTGAGATGTAAACCTACCTCTCCTAAATCATATACAGTTTTGTAGACCAATTTTACCACAGTAAAAAGAAAAAAAATAATCTTTGAAAGATGTTCTATGCCATCCCCTCCAAATTCTTAAATTTGAAAGTTACAGCATGCATGTATATGTAAATCATAAGAAAAATACTCAGCTTTCTCAGAATTATGCAGAAATTAATTCATCCAACAAATATTTACTGAGCAAATACAGGTGCTGGAGATATAGTGGTAAACAAGTGACACAATCTGTACCTTTACTAAGTTGCTATTTTCATGAGATCAAACAAAAGAAAGTCAGAATATAAGGAGTCATCACTACACAGAACATACACTCTATCACAGCAAAGACTAATCCTTGGAATTAGAAGGATTTTGTTCTTCAAAAAAATATTCTTTTCTCTCAAATGCAGATGGCCAACAGGCATATGAAAAAATGTTCAATATCACTTGTAATAAAGGAGATGCAAATTAAAATCACAATGAGATACCACCTCACCCCAGTGAGAATGGCACATCTTCAAACAACTAGCAACAACAAATGTTGGCAAGGATGTGGAGAAAAAGGAATTCTCCTGCACTGCTGGTGGGAATGCAAACTAGTACAACCACTATGGAAAACTTTTTGGAGGTTCCTCAAACTGCTAAACATGGAGGTTCCATATGACTCAGCAATCCCACTCCAAGGTATCTACCCAAGAGACACAAAAACACTGATTCAAAAAGACACCTGCACCCCCATGTTTATTGCTGCTTTATTTACAATTGGAAAGACATGGAAACAACCAAAATGCCCAAAAGTAGATGACTGAATTAAAAAGATGTGGTACATATATACAATGGGATATTACTCAGCAACCAAAAAATAAATAAATAAACACATGTCTTTTGCAGCAACATGGATGGAGGTGGAAAAGATCATGCTTAGTAAAATAAGCCAGAAAGAAGAGGAAAAATACCAGATGGTTTCAATCATATCAAGAGTACAAAGGATCAGGGGAGAAAATAATAATAATAATGAACAACTATATGCCAGAGACATTTTATGGAGGTGGAATGGGGAATGGGACCAAAAAGTTTGGGGGGGGAAGGAAGTACACTGGACTATGGTGATAGCACATAGGTGATTTGGTGATGAGAAGCCCATGGGGATTACAACTGAGATGGAAAAAGGCACAAAATGATGTAAAAATAAACCATTTTATTTATTTTTTAAATATATTCTTTCCTCTCAAGGGAAGTAGTATTTCTTTAAGTGTAACTAGTTTATACAGACCAGGCAAGGCCTACTTCATAGAACAGTGTCTCTGAAAAAAATTCATAAAGAAAAACTTTAGCAAACTAATTCAAATATAGTCTATGGGAAAGTATTGGGAGAACAGCAAGTAACTGTCTTATTTCAGTGAGAAAGACAATTATAGGAAGATAGAGTATAACTGCACAAAAGTGATGAAGGAATTTGTATGACTATGTACACAAACACACATTTATCCCTAAAATATAAAACTAAAATCTGAGAGAAGTATGCTAAGATGATGACATTTTGGGTGTTTTGTTTTCTTTAACTTTCATAATTATACATTTGCACATTGTTTGGACTTTCTAAGCAAATATTATTTTGTATTATTTCTATAATCAATAAAAATCCCCAAATTCCACTAGCTTTTCATAATGCGACTAAATCCCTAGTTAACATGTTTGAAAATTTATATTACTACTACTTTCAAGTATGTATTATGGCTTTTATTAAAACCACTACTATTGCTCTCTACATTCCTACATGTTGTACATTAGCTGTCTTTCAAATACAAATAACTATACTCTTTCCAAACCTGAAGGAGGGATCATCATCCTACGATCCTGTTCCCATGGAGGTGAGATGGACCCAGTGTCAGACGGTGCTCTATGAGGATCAGCTAACCTATCACAGCTTGATTCTCCTCTTTCATTGGAAATCTGATGGTCCAGAGGATTCCCAGGAACTCTTGAACCTAATTAAGGAAATAAAAACTATTTTGTCTTATATAAAAAAGTATTGAAACCTATCATCAAATAAAATTCAGAGACTTTAAAAAGTGAAAACAGATTCCAACAAGACTTCCCAAAGATGCATTAGATTATAACTCTTTACCAAAGTCACCTTAAAACAATGAGTAAAAACTAATTTTGCCATGTGTATGAACACTTACCTATAAAATTTGTTTTAAAACTTATGATTAGCATTTATACATATCAGTGGTTAAATTGTAAATTATAATACTTAGTCTGAAAAATGAGAGAAGAAATGTAAATTGAAAAGTAAAAATTTCTATATCAGACTGTAATCATTATGAGTTTTTTGTTGCCTAAGCTAATACATAAAAGTCAAAATGAGTTTTTTGTTGCCTAAGCTAATACATAAAAGTCAAAATAATCATCTTAGGGACTACATAGCTATTTCAATAATTCCACATTTACTCAAAGTATTTTTTAGACCAAATTATTTGGAAATGTATTCATATAAGAGTCACTGAAGAAATTGTACCTCAATATTGTGACATTACTCCATATTTCTAGCCAAAAATTATTTTAACCAAAATGATTGCAAACTTTATACCCATTAGATAAAAGTGGCCTTAAATTTAGCAATTTCTAAATATCAAATTAACCTTCAAGAGGCATTTAGAGCTCTGAAGATAAGTCTACCAGCAAGTTTCAAAATAATCACTATTATGAACAAGGTAACTCTCATTTAGATCAGAAAATCTGGCAAGTTTCCATTTGTAAAGAGGAACATCATCTTAAAGTTTCCTCATTATAACCACACAAAGGATAGTACCTCAATTAATAACCCATATTCAATTAAAGTTTAAAAGGCAAATATAAAACATTTAAACCTTAAGTAACAAAAAATATTGGGTTGTCAAAAAAGTCATGTTGCAGTTTTGCTTAAAAACATAGAAAAAATTATATCACGAGTTTTCCACAACCCAATATTATCAATATCTTCATTTATCTGATGTGGAGGGGAAAATGAGGTCTTCTTAAAATTATACTGCCCAGAAAACAAAAGCTTATTCCTTTCAAGGAAATGCTTTAAAAAAAAAAAAAAAAGAACCTTTTTTAAACAAAACTCTTTCCAAAATGCTGCCCATATTTCAATGCCTAATTTAAGAGAGGAGATTAAAACTAACCGTACTTTTTCTTGGTAACTTGTCAACTCAATAAAAGCACTATTTTAAATATATAATAATCTTTTAAAATGTTTTCAATCAGCTGTCTCTTAAGGCGTCAGGAAGTCAACTGACTTCTATATAAGAAAGTCAACTATCTCTTTTCCTTACAGATGTACATTCTGTTAAATTCCCCAAATCTTTTCTCCAGTTTATCTAATCAGTTCAGTAGAAAATGGGTGAGACAGTAGAAAACTAAACTGGTAAGAAATGTTAATTAAGCTTAGTTCAAGCATAATGAAGCACAGAGTTTTAAAGGAGATAATTAAAAGTTTTCTCTGATTACTTACTTCCAGAGGCCCAAAGCTCTCTGCCAATTGTCAGACTACCAAGTGGAAAATTTTAAATTCGAAAAATACTAAAAGTTAAAATTGTTCATTCTGACCAAAAGTTATATATATTTTACTCTGGACAGAAATTATTTTTTCTGTATTCATCTTATTTAAACATATATAATCCAAACTTTAAGGGCAGTGGTTATCCTTCTTTGTGGCTTATAGATATTTTCAGTTCCAAAGCAACTATTTTAAGACCTGGTGATAACTTATTTAGAACTGCTATAGCTTTTCTAACAAAGTAAAACACCCTTGCAAAAAATCTACACACCTCATATCTTACAAGTAACTAAGAAAGAGGAAAGAATTTAAATAGGAAAGGAGAAACCAAAGGTAATTTTTACTTATTCCAAATAATCAGTAAACTACAAGCAATCCTTGACTTATGGCATTCAAATTCCAATAATTCATATTTGCAGGTTAGCTAATTATGCCCTTTTTTCTAGAGCACTGTTTTTCAGACTGCTAACTGCAAACCCATTGCAGTACATGAAATAAACTTACATGATAAGTATTCATTTTTTGCAATAAAATAATTAGAACAGAACAAAAAATATCAGGAAGCATCAAAAACTGTAATAATTCATGTAGCTCATGTCCATTACAAGGATACTGGTGTGCATGTGACATGATATGGAGTATATTTCTTATTGTCAATCAGAGTAAATACTGGGAGGAAAATGGATTTAGGGCACTTAAAGAACATGTATAAATGTTAAAATTAGAAATTCTCAGAGAAAAGCCCTCATAAGATGCTATGTTAGTGGACAACTCATGCTCTTTCATTGCTTTCAGATCAAAACCACTGCAAAGAAAGTTCCCTGCAGTGTCCCTAGGACGTGTATCTATTCTACACTATTGAAAAGAGGGACCAGTGTAAAAAGTAGTTAAATGAGGGTGGGGAAAGAAACAGAAATAGGAAATGGGCAAAGGAAGAATATTTCGTGGTCATAAAATAGGACATTTTCTCATACTCTTTGAAATAAAAAGTTTCAAAAATATTTAAAATGTCAGCTTCCACAGGAAAGTACAGACTTTCTGAGTGACTGTTTTGATGAGCAGTAGCCACTTGAAATAGGTTTTGATATGTTGGGTTCACATTGATATCTTGATTTAGTCCTACCACTTTCTGCTCCTATCTAGATTAAACATGCTAAAATCGCTATTAAAAAAGAGGCTATGCCCCTGTAAAGAATGTTATCAGTTTTTATGAAACATGGACGTAGGACTAAAAACCTAAGATTTTTTATTTTGGAATAAACAGGGCTCTCTATAGCTTTAAATTCTGCTACAATTCAAATGAAAATTTTAAAGTAACCTGCAAAGTCAATAAAGAGTGGTAAGAGATCAAATGAGAAAAACTCAAAAGTGTATATATATATATAGGTAACACCAAGGGTGAGGGCTAATGAGGTGAATGCAAAAGACCAACAGCTAATCTTTAATTTTAAAACAACCTCAGTGTGCTTTAAATACTATATCTCAAGTGTACCTCAACCAAGTTATTTAAAATAAGAAAAAACTTTAGATATTATCAAAAAAAACATGGCAGAGGGTAACAGCAGGCAATCTTGAGTATGTTCTTCAATATACTAACAAATGATTTAGTTTTCCTTTAATGTTCCTATCAAAACTCTACAAGAGAGTATTTCTGAGTTCTTCAACGCTAAAAAGAGGTTCTTTCACTTCTGATTTTCTGTAATTAAAGAGAAAATAATAATGAAATTTTTAAAAATTCTCCATTCTAATGTTACATCAAATACAATTTTATATTTGGTTACATTGTTATTGTATTTTATGTACTCTTTATGTAAAGTTTTATATTATTAAGTGTAATATACAGTTTTAAGAAGTCAAAAATGATTTAATTTCTAAGAGAAAAATATATTAAAATATATTAATGCATAGAGTTCCTCTTCCAAACAAAAGTCACCCACAATAAGTACAAGGAATGCCTGTGTTTTCTAAAGGGTTACTTTTTTAAAGATCATTTTAAAGATGAGATGAAAATATAAAGTAAGGAAGAAATATAGAGTAATAAAGATGTTTAAACAATATACCTCTTCCTCCTCCCCCTGGAAGCAAAGGTGAGAGTCTGAGTGGACCCTCCAACAAAGTTGGAGGGGAGAGAAAAGCTCTCGTTTCAGATGAAGGTCGACCCAATGGTGAGGGACCATATGGGGAATGCTCTGGAATAATTAAAACAGCATATTTAAATTCATGGTTTCAATTAACTACACTTTAGATTAGAATCCTATTTCAACAATTACCATCAGGTCATTCGATTGCCATTAAGACTAATCCAGGCCCTGAACACTAAATATGCCTTGGGTTTTGCTGCTATGAAACAGAATTAAATGTGGAACCTTGAGTTTTTAAAGTCTATAATCAAATGGACACTTTAATCAACAAAAGCATTATCCTTAGTAATTAGTACATTTAAAGAACCATCTAATATTAAGTAACAGACTGCTGATGTTTTGGAATTATAAGAGGATTTGGAAGCATTAAGTTAATTTTGTTTTGAATGGCAGGATTCTCCAGATATTTCAGCTGGTAAATGTTGTAATAATGAAGGGCTCAGTTTAAATCAAGGCCAGAGAAGCTGTGCTGGACCATGAACTACTTGAGTGAAGTTTTATTAAAAGATAAAAAAACCCACAAAATATTACAAATTACTTCTATTCCTTACCAGTGAAAATTTGTTTATAAATACTAAGTGATCAAATAAATCCCTTTATAAGCCATATGACCAAGAGCCCTATCATTTTACAAACCACACCACTCCCAAATGATTATGCTCTTAAAAATCAACATTCTTAAAAAACTGAAAACCACCAAAATAATACTTTTTAAGTGATACATTTTATTGTGTAGCTTATGTAATATTCAAATATAGTTATAAGAGAAGATAACAACATTATTTAATCTCTTTAGACTCATACAAAAATTTATTTTGAATATAATTCCCTCCCCCCAAGCTGTTATAACTGAAATTCATAACAACTTATTTTTTAATGTAAGAACACTTTCATTTTAATGAAACAGGTTTCTCAAGAGTTTATAAATTTTAAATGACTGTTAAAATGGGATTTTACCTCTATAAAGGTAAGTTTATATTTTCTGCATCTGAAGCATAATTACAATTCAACTAAAATTATTTTGAAAATTTAAACTATTTTTAAGTATGAGATCATTAAAAATGCCAACTCATTTGTAAGTTAAATGGACAGAAAGATAAAATACACCTTCCAAAGTTTTGATCCTTTTTTAGGGATAATGAAAGCAAACAAAATGCAAATTACTGAAATTTTCCATTTCTTAATACTTTTAAATAATTAGAAACCAAGTTTTAATATCTTTTATATCAAGCAAATTCCAAAGAATAGTTACTATGTAAACAGTCACAATGCTATTACTTCAAGCACTCCTTATTCATTCTCCAAAGAATAATGAGTATTCTGTTATGTGCCAAGCACTTTACCTTTCAAGGAGTTCAAGGTACTATATGTATATCATATTACAAAATCCCACTGAAAAAAGGAGGCATCAATTATTTGTATTATTGCTAGGGAAACAAACCTCAGAGACTTGGGAGATTAATTTAGAATCTTGGCTCAAAATCTAAAGTATTTATAAAACTGTTAACATACACTAATATAAACTATATGTACAATATATGTGTGTGTGTGTGTGTGTGTGTGTGTGTATAAATATATGTCTATATACAGAAAGAGAGATTTTAAATGAGTGGTTAAAAAAAAAAGACTACCTCTGCCAAATGCTGTATTTGGAACATCAAGTGCATAGGGATCTTTTTCTAAAAGTTCAAATTTTAACTCTGTTTCAGTTAATCTGCAAATAAAGAACAAACATCTCTAAGTTATTTGTCCAAGAGTAGTGCCTACATTTCAAGAAAAATGCCACTATCAATTACAAGCTATATTTACTATCTTAGTAGTTGCATGGAAGAAACATCCTTTAAAATACCTTTCTTTATCCACCATTACTTATTTTGATGGGTTAGTTTTGCTTGCTAATAGTTTTGACATTTGGGGTTGTTTTGTTTTTTTCTTCAAACTAAGCTACACAAGCATTGTATCACAGAATCCAAGTTTTATAAATAAAACAATGAAGGTCAAGCAGTTCAAATCTCCCATTTTATAACTGAGGAAACTAAGAGAAGGAGTTAGTAATGTATTCAAAATAAAAATACTAGGATTAAAACAGGTCTCTGGCACTAAGTCAATGTATGATTTCCATTTTAATATTATCCATATGATAACAATCACAACATAAAATTAGAATCCAATTAACTCACTCCAACTAGTATACTCTTAAACTTTCTATCTTAAGAATTGGTGTAAAAAATGCCACTTTTTTAAAAATTGTATTTCTAGTATTTGTACTTTAGATCTGGAAAAAATCACTTGTTTTTAATTTCTGAGTAGAAAAAGAAAACAAAAAGACTAAACCTAATATTGCAAAATGTTAACAATACATTCTGAGAAGAAATTAAAACACTGGGAAGACTGCTGCTGTATCCTCATAGAAAAACATTTACACATCTGTTCTATTACTCCCCCTTTAAATTAAAACCAGAGAATGAGAGACATAATGAACAATTATTCTATCCACTAATCTTTCAGAAGATGCTGATACTTGATAACTATTATGGTCACAGAGATTTACTCTTTCTTTATCTTTTTTCTTTTACCTATATTGGTTATTTTGTTTTTTCATTTTAAAATACTTTTTAACATGAGAACTTAAGTTTCTTCTATGTCAGAGTGACTTTATAATATAAGCATATCAAACAAACAAAAAATATAGTAATACCTAGAAAAACTAATTGCTATTTTAACGCTATACTTAAATTTCTTCAAGTTTCTTTATTTATCCTTATAAAGGTATTAACTAACTAATAAAATAATAAGAATAAAGTGATAAAATTTCCAAAGTGTTCCCATTGCAAACTTACTTTTGTCTGTTGTGAGCATTTTCTTTCTTTAACTCATTGAGATTTCTTTCAGCAGTCCGAGCTGCCAACTTAAAGAAGAAAAACACATTTTAAAAAATACAATCATACCAACTTAAAATGAAAGATAACCATATATAAATATCATGTGATGGTACACAAATACCACAATCACTTAAACAAGTATGCATTTCATTATATTCAATTTAAATAGATTTTAATTTTGAGAATGATTTTAGAAGGGAGTGAGTTTCCTTTTATAAGACCTGAGGTTAAAGCTGGAATCTGCATAGTTGGCATGAATGCCATTATCTGGAAATTAAGTCATGGCTTAGCACTATTTAATGCTATAATTACCCAAATAACAAGACAGAAGAAATGTAAGAGGAACCAACCTGAGGGCAACAGGGATGGAGACTCAAAATCAAAAAGCATGGCAGCACTGGCTACGAAACAAAGGGAGGGCCCTCCCTGGTGGCAAAAAAGGTTAAGTCGCAGCACTATGAAGCTATCAGTAGTCACTGTAGCACAAATTCGATCCCAGGCTAAGGATCCTCATGACACAGCAGATTTCTCCTTTCCAGCCTGCTGCTCCCCTCAGCAGTGTATTTCAGTCAATCCGCCTGTTCTGCTCCCCACTCTGTATCTGGTGAATCCTCTCACCCACACCCACCCCCTCCTCTGGCCTACACCCCAGCGCTTGTGTGCATAAATAAATAAATCTTAGAACAAAAAAAAAAAAAAAGAAAGCATCTCTGAAAATAAAAACACTACACTATATGAAAAAAAAGGTTTAAAATTGCTTCACAGCATGCTAGTACAGGCCATTTCTTTAAAGACTGAATATAATCAAAATATGCTATGTGTCTCAGAAGTATAAATCAGTATACATATCATATCCCTACAGTCTTACATTTATTCAGAGATATTTCAAAAGGTTAGAAAATCAGAGTGTGTGTATGTGTGTGTTTATACTTAAAATAAATACAAAGATTGTGCAGTAGTCCCAAATAGGTGAGGGCAAAAAATATACACAATATGGTATGTTTTTGTCTTTCTTATGCAAGCTCCTCCTGATTAGAAACAGCACTGTTGAAGCTCACACCTGTCTTCTAACTGAATCCACTAGGTTAAATGCATCAATCATACAAAAGATGGTAAATTAACTCAGTATAAAAACATAATTTCCTACAAGAACTATGGACTCAACTGTGTTCGTTTAAAATTGTGTACTACACATTAATTCACCTTAGTTGGTCAAATGATAAATTATGTAAATATTCACACACAAAAAAAAGATAGCTTAACCACATTTGAGCATCAGGGACCAGGAATATTTGGTGTGTAAGTCTTTTCCCAATAATCATATGTACAATCTTCCAATAATCATATGTACAATCAAAAGGAAATCTATACCATAACAATTTTAATTAATTGAAAACCAATTCATTTAACTTGTATCAATATGAAAAAAGTAAAACTATGTTTAAATGTTTTCTATACAGCCTAACATATTACTCTTAAATATAAGACAGAAAAAATATAGTGAAAAAGTCAAAAGTCCTATGATTATAGTACAGTACATATTAAACATATAACTACAAAAATATATATAAATAAACTGATGGCAAATGATTACACACTTCTGCAGTCAAATGCTCTACCCCTGAGCTATACCCCCTGAATACAGACTTCTAAAAAACTTTCAAGGTTAGGTAAAATGGTATTTCAGTGAATGACCCCTTAATAGTTTAAAACATTACTTTCAGATACTGAATACTTACAATATGTGAACAGCATTTTTTTTAGAGATTTACTTATTTACACATACAGAACTGGAGTACAGGCCAAAGATGCAGGGCGGTAAGAGGATTCACCAGAGACAGAGTGGGGAGCAGAACAGGCCAAATGACGAATTACACTGCTGAGGAGAGCAGCAGAAGGATCAGGAGACGTCTGCCATGCCATGTGGGTCACCTCCGGGGCAAGCGGGGATCAAACTCATGCTGAAGTGGCTTTAGCTTCTCAGTGCTATGCTTTAACCCACTGCGCTACCAGGGAGGGCCCATGAATAAGCATTTGATACCCTTGGTATCAAAGAGAAAGAAATAGTCCCACCTTAAGAAGTTTAAATCTATGGTGAGAACAAATATAAATAACCTTAGTACGAGCTATGAACACAGTAAAAGTACTAAGTAAGTTTCAAGGACAAAAAGATTAAACTCAAAAGTTAGAGCAAAGAATGCGCAATAGAGAAAGTAACATCTGAAATGATAAAATTATGTACAATAGAAAAAGTATAAACAAGCTAAAGATTTAGTGGGAAAGGTTAAATTGTGGTAATATCTTCATAAAAATATTAAAGATATATTAAGAGCCTCATTTAACAGTTTTAAACTATGTATGTAGTTTTTTGCCTAAGTATATTCAAAAAAGTATGCAATAAATGAAAATGTGATGGCTGATTACTTCTCTGTACATTCCTATATGTTCTGAACTTTTATTTCATGACTACAAATAATTATAAAGTAAAAAAATTTTATTTTGAAGCATAGTGAGCATATTTTCTTCACATTTTAATTTACAATCAATGTTATTATTTATTAGATAAGAAACCTAACATATAGTAACAGAAAAAACACAAGATTTAAAATCTAAAAGATCAAGATTTCAATCTCCATTTTCACTTCAATTATATGACCATGGGCTGTGACCATTTACAGTTACTCTGTGGATTAGATGAGTAATATGCTAAATACCTTTAAGTATAGTACAGAGAACACAAGATATACTAATTAACACCAATTCCACCCCATCTTTAAAAAGCAATCAGCATCTAAGTATTCAGAGAGTGATGATGAGTGGTAAAGACTATATCCAGCCCAAAGCCTAGCTTAATTCAAAACAAATCTTTGCTTAATCTCTCAAGACAAAAGCATGAAAAATCACAGAATCAGGAAAATCTTGACATTCAACATATCTAATTTTTCATCCTATGCCAGGAAATGTCCATCCCTAAGAAACATCTAAGCTTCAATGTAACAGCAATAATTATTTACCGAGTGTTTGTTATTTATGAGAAAACCGGCTAACAAGAACTTAACATGAATTAACTTCTTTAAGTATCATAATAATTCTGTGAAACATTGAAACATCTATGATTGATATCTCTATTTCAGTATTACAGATAAGAAAACTAACTGTGGCAGATGTGAGACAGGGTGTCTCTAGACCCCATGTATTCATGCACTGCAAAAATGCCTTCCCTTACTGACTCCTAGAACAAATCCTCCCAAGACTGGCTATTACTGCAATTGTACACAAAAGAGAATTACTCTTATAATTAGTCAAAATCTGCATTACCATTTCTTCATATAGTTTTCCTAAGGCACTGATTTACTATTGCTCATGATGGCATCTTTCTTACTAAGTATACAGTAATTTAAATGGAGAATCAAACATCAGAACTGTATTAATTTTAGAACTACAAGGGGCTTTAGATGTTATTTAGTCCAATCCATTGTTTTATAGTTGAGTAAACAGAACTAAGGAATATTAAATAATTTGTCCACAAGTAATCAGCCAATCCAGCCCCCTGAAACAATGAATCCAAGAACACTATATCACTTCTCCCAGAATTTTGTAAATGTGTTTTAAAAAGTATTTAGTTCAAAAGGAGCAAAATTTCATACTAGTAAAATTAAAAGAAACTTTTTAAAATATTAATTTTTATCCAGTATAAAAGTATACCTTTTATATTGCTCATTTATATTAGGAAAAGTACATGTTTATGAGCGCCTAAGAGAACTTAATACTTACCCAATTATCATGTGCTCTTTTCTCATGAGAAATGATCTGAAAAAGAAAGCCATTAAAATACTGTTGATGACTTTTTCTCAAGTAAAAATTATTCACAGCAACCAGTGTTATTGATGCACAGCTCAGAATCTCAAAATTGACTAAAATATAAATAAAACTAAAGATTTTGTCTAGAAAATTTCTATTTTATGCAGTAATAAAATGCAACAAGATTTCTCAATTAAGAAATAACTAGTATAATTAAATATCGGATCTGATGTCGCTATGTTTATGCAAGCCATGTTCCCAAGGCAGCATGGCAATTTTAAATAAGGTCTTTTAACTGAGAACGTTGGGCTCTATAGAAACAATTCATAGTAACATACAAAATCTCAAAAGTGGCGTGCATACAACTTATCAAGTGACTATCCCCCTGCATCAAAATAGAAATAACAATTCAAAGAAATCAGAAGTTTTTTAGTTACCTGCCCTTGATAAGAATGTATGGTTCTTTCCAATTCTTCTTCAAGATCTTTGGCTCGCTTTCTATAAGGAATAAATAATCTCTTTTATTAACATACACTTAGAAATGACAGAACACACAGTCTCTACTGAAAATACTAAAACAGCTAGCATGCTGTGCTCCATATAAAAAACTCCAGGATTCCACAAGTTAATTGCCTTTAGAAGTTATTAAGTATATTTTTCGCTCATTATAAATGGTAACATTAATTAAACGTTAAGAATACTATCACTAGCTTGGGCTTGTATAAATCAAGGTCAGTGGAAAGATTTATATGGAACGTTTGTTCATTTTTATTTTTAAGCAGCTCACATTGGAAGACTTATTCAGATGTTTCCGATTTTAGTATAATTCTAAAGAATTAACAACTTGTGTGAAATAAAATGTTAATTACATTTATAAAGTCAATGATGACAGCTCTGTATTTTGCATGAAAATTGTTTAATTCCTCCTAATATAAAGAGAAGTATCACACACATACATAATACTAAATAGAATAACTATTTGGAATATGGCTAAATCTGACCCCTTTTCTATCAGTTTACTATTATTTTCATAGTAAAAATTACACTTAGTCTTATAAACACTTCTTTAGAACTTAACTGTGGCTCACTTCTTTTTGTGACATGCTTTTCCATTTATTGATATTCTATATACTCTTCCCTATTTGAGCCAGAGAGATAAAGATCTTGAAATTAATGGCTACTCAAAAATTTCCTGGCATTAACAAAGATAGTGTGAAAATTTTTAAGTGAAAAAATTAATGATAAACATATTTTTCTTCTTACATGTTTCTGTTTAATAGTAGCAAGATATCTAAATAAAATATAATGAAACAAAAATATGCTGCTTTTATTTTGGAGAACTGTTTATTTTTTCTGGTACTGAGCTCTCTGATACCCTCCTCCCCACCTCAATACCTGTAGGTTTCCAGTTCTTCAGCTGCATAGGTGATCTTTTCATCTGCTTTGGAAAGTTTCTCCTCTTTCTCTAATCGGTAATTTTCCTCTACTGTAAGTTTCCTTAAAACAAAATTTTATTTCTTTTACTTTATGTCATAAAATAATCAATTAAATATCACAACTAGTACTTCCCACAAAGCAACCAGAATACTGTAAAACACCGCAGGCACAGAAAAAAAAAAAAACTATAAATATTCCTGGTGTGGAACTTAGTGTTAAGCTCATTATAAGACATCTTATCCAGTACAGCACTAGTAATAAAGAAGTTTCATGAGTTTTCCAAGGGGCTACAAACTAAAAAGCTTCTGCATAGCAAAAGAAACTTGCATCAAAATGAAAAGGAATCCTACTAAAGATATTTGTACATCATATGTGTGACAAGCATTTAATATCAAAGAAATCATAAAACTCAATGCTATAAAATATCCTAGCTAAAAAATGGACAGAGGATCTAAATAAATACATCTCCAAAAACATACAGCTGGCCACTAAGCTAATGGAAAGATTTTCATTATCTCCTTATTAAATCAAAACAACAAAAAGGGAAATACAAATCATTAAACCACAATGAGACAAGACCTCACACCAGTGAGAATGGCACATATTCAAAAAAACAAGCAAAAAGTAAATGTTGGATCTCGAGTAGAGAAAAAAAGAACTCTCCTACACTGTTGGTAGGAATGCAAAATGATGCAACCACTGTGGAAAGCTGTGTAGAGGTTTCTCAAACTGCTAAAAATGGAGCTTCCGTCTGATCTAACAATTTCACTTCTAGGTATCTACCCAAAGGACACAAAAACAGTAATTCAAAAAGATAACCTGCACCTCTGTTTATTGCTGCCCTCTTTACAATAGAGAAGATGTGAAACCAACCCTAATGCCAAAAATGGATGTCTGGATCAAGAAGATGTGGTGTATATACACAGTGGAATATTACTCAGCGATCAAAAAGGATAAACTCATGCTATTTGCAGCAACATGGATGGAACTAGAAAAGACCATGTTTAGTGAAATAAACCAGAAAGACAAAGAAAAATACCTGATGGTTTCACTAATAGCAGGAGTGAAAGGAATCAGGAAATACACACACACACAGTAATTATAATAAAGTAAAAAAGAACATCAACAACTATCAACCAGAGACATTCTACGGGGGAAGAGAGAGGAACAAGATCAGAACTGGGGTAGGAAGAGCACATGGAACTATGGTGATGGCACATGGATGAAGTGGTATTGGGAAGTCTACAGGGATTACAACTGAGATGAAAAACTGTACAAAATGAAGAATAATGTAAAAGATATACTTATAAAATAAAAAATAACAATGAGATACCTCATTCATACCTCTGAGAATGGATATTATCCAAAAGACAATTAACAAGTGTTGAAAAGGATGTGGAGAGAAGGGAACCTTTATACACTGAATGTAAATTAGTTATGACCATTATGGAAAGCAAGATGGAGATTCCTCAAAAAATTGAAAATAGAAATTCCACTAGTTATCCCTGTTCTGATTATTTACCCCCAAAATAAAAAAAAATTGCTAACTTAAAGAGATCTATGTACCCCCATGTTTACTGCAGCACTATTTATTATAGTTAAGAACTACACTTTACCTAAGTGTTCATCAATTGACAAATGGGTGAAAATTATGTAGTATATATACACAATGGCTATGAGTCATAAAATAGATGAAATTCTGCAACATGGATATATGTAAAAGGACTTATGCTTAGTGGAACGAGTCAGACAGAAAAAGACATAATTTCATTCATGCGTGTTATAAAAGAAACCAAATGAATACAAAAAAATGAACTTTGAACTATTAAGACCAATATATGGTTACCAAAAGGGAAGAGGAAAAGAAGGTTGGTATATCAGATAAAAGGGGATAAAAGGCCCTCCTTGGTGGCCCAAGGGGTTAAAGCACTGAACTAAGGAGCTTAAGCCACTTTCGCATGAGTTCGATCCCCGCCTGCCCCAGAGGTGACCACATGGCGCGGCAGACCTCTCCTGACCGGCCCGATGCTCCCCTCAGCAGTGTACTTCGTTGATCTGACTGTTCTGCTCCCCACTCTGTCCCTGGTGAATCTTCTCACCCTCCGCATCTCTGGCCTGTACACCAGTTCTATATAAATAAATAAAATAAATCTTTAAAAAAAAAAGGGGGGGGATAAAGGAATGCTGAAGGTTAAATCGAACCTTAATAGAGTACATATACATGTTGTTTCCTAACAAGGAACACCTAAAAGTAATATATGTATGTGTGTGTATATATGTGTGTGTGTGTGTGTGTGTGTGTGTCTTACTTCAATTTAAAAAAATTAATGTTATCATAAAAGATTATCAAAGATAAAGGTTAAAAACTATTATGACTACATGTTATGCTTCAAGCAATCAAGAAATATTACATTTATTAGCTAATAAGTCATCAGCTAATGAAGTATGTTTCAGTAATTCGTAAAATAGTTTTTTGTTGTTAAAATAGTGATTAGGCTTCCAAGTCAATTCACAAAAATATAATAATAAACAAACCTGAAGTAAGCTAGAACTCTGTCCAGTTCTTTTAATAATAATAGCTAACTGAGTTATAGTACGTGGCAGAAACTGTCCTTAGTTAAACCTTTAAGTGTATTATTTAATTACAACAACTCTACATAAAGAATATTAATTAGAAAAAGGAAATAATGCACAGATAAACTAAAAACTGGACCTTATCACTATCAAATAATCATCCCACTATATTATTTTAGCCAAGTTGTTCAAATGCTATTATTATCAGTACACTGGTCCCTGAAGAAATACTAATTGAAATCTATGACAAAAAATACATCTTACTTTACATATTTAAAGCAAAAAAAATCAAACTTCTATATTTTACTATTTAGTCCTCTACAAAATTAAATTTGGAAAAATGCTAGTATTGTAACAGACACATAAAATATCAAAATAGCATCTAGAAAACAACTGAAACTATATGCAGGCAAGAATTTTAATTTAACATCTTACTAATGGTATCAATCCTCTATATTATACTCTAGAGAACAAACGCTGGCATAATTTATGGAATTTCAATAGCAAATACTTCCATTTAAATCAAAGAGTGGGACATATGACAGTTGAAGAATTTAAAACATTTCAAACTAATGAATAAAATTGCAATGTGAGCAATGCACATACAGCTACAATTACACTCCGCTTTCCATCCTTCCTTTTCATATTCAGAGGACAACTTTTTTGGTGGAGATTTTAAATATTACTCATTAAAATTCTATAATCAACCGTATGTTTTCATTCCTTTATTCATAAGACATTATTTTCAAGCTACTTTAATCTCAAATAATTCCTTTATGTTCACTACTCATATCGTTAATTCTAATCTAAAAAGGTTTATTCCAAGGTTTACTGCCAGTGGCTCTCTGTAGCTTTTCCACTAAAGTTTATTACTCTTTCATATTTTACACTATTCTAAGAGACCCCAAAGTTGATGAATAGCAAAATTTAAATTCAGCCTTGAATCCAAAGTACTAATGAAATATATAGCTTTTCAGTAAATGACTCATTCAATCACTTAGCATCCTGATGTATGAATGAAGTATTTCCAAATACATACAAGAGAATCTCTTTCCTGCTAATTATGTTCTATTGTCATTACAAAAACTAAATTAGAAAATAATTAAACACTGATCCCAAGAGAAATACATGGTTAAGTTACCATGAATTCTAGCCACAGCATTTTCATCAACCAAGCAATACATAACCTTATTTCATGTGCTTCTGCTTTGACTTTGCCTTATTTAATGTGTATTACTCATTTTTTAATGACGAACTCACAGTTAACATTTTAATGCATGCCTATGAATAAAACAGCAGATATATTTTCTTCTCAAACTTAGAAACACTAGATTGTACTTCAGCACCAAAAGGAGACCATTTTAAACAGCTAAATCACTAGCAAAAATCATAAAAATGGTACCTCTCTGGTGGTGCAGGACTTAAAGCTTCAGCATTATCATGCTATTGCAGTCACTGGAACATGAGTTCAATCCCAAGCCACGGAGCTAGCCTACGTGGTACAGCAGACCTGTCTTACCCACTGCTCCCCTCAGCAGTGTATTTCAGTGAATCTGCCTGTTCTGCTCCTGGCTCTGTGGTTGGTGAATCCTCCCACCCGCCCCCTCATCCCCAAACCTCTGGCCTGTACCCCAGTTCTTGTATAGATAAATACATAACCTTTAAAAGAAAAAAAAACGTGTCTCTTAATATACTGAAGAAAGGATATCGGTTTACAAAATGAAAGTGTTGAAATAAGACAAAGTATGCTGAGCTTTGGGAAATATAAACTTTTTGCCATCTTCTGCAGATCTGCAAATGACTACTGAAGTTTCATGAGTGTTGATTGTGGGGTTACAAATGAATCTTCACAGGTATGCAAATTCAAAATATAGAATCTCCAAATAACAAGGATCAACAACAATAACCTTCATTAAGTTTTTTTTTTTTGGGGGGGGGGGAACTGGGGTACAGGCCAGAGATGCGGAGGGTGAGAGGATTCACCAGAGACAGAGTAGGGAGCAGAACAGGCATCGATGAAGTACACTGCTGAGGGGAGCAGCGGGCCGGTCAGGAGAGGTCTGCCTCGCCATGTGGATCTCCTCCGGGGCAGGTGGGAATCGAACTCATGTGGAAGTGGCTTTAGCTTCTTAGGGCTATGCTTTAACCCGCTGCGCCACCAGGGAGGGCCAGCTTTCATTAACTTTTTAAAGGGACTTGAAAGTCTGTATTTTGTCCCTTGTATGATAAAATGTGTGTGTGTGTGTGTGTGTGTGTGTGTATGTGTTATAATGGTATTTGAGAATCTCAGGTCTCCAAATAAGTATCTTGAGATTGCCTTCCGTGTACCTAGTCATTTAGGCATCAGAGTACACAAAATCTTTCTCTCTGATTATAAAGGTACTAAGCATATATATTCATATATCCAACAAATATTTATTACTTAATAACTACCATGTAAGGATACAGAAAAGAATAAAGTAATTCTCTTAGGAATTTACATTTAATATTGGGAAGATTTTTTAAAGAGGTTTTTGAAATGACAAACATCTGAAGCAACAGGAATGAATACAAAGGAAAACAAAACAAGAAAAAGGGATAGGGTGTGGCAGGTATTATTTTAGTTAGGGTAGCCAAAGATTTTTTGAGGCAACATTTGAACCAAGATCCAAATGAAATAAGAAACATTAAAACTTATATAAGGAAAACCATTCCAGGCAGAAGGATAAAGTGCAAGGCCCCGATATAAAGATAAGCTTGACATCTAAATAAACATCCTCAGAAAAGCCACTGTCATTAGAAAGTAGTGAGGGAAAAAGAAAATTAATAATCTAAAGAGGTAGCCAGAGATCAGCCCTTGTAGGTGATGATAAAAGCCTAGGTGTAAATTAGGAATGTGATATGAACTTACTTTGAGGTTCCAAACAAGAAACCACCAGCACCCAAACTTAATTTTTTCAAGGGTCATGCTGATAAAAACAGAGAGCAAGTTATTAAGAGTGAAAAGAGAGGACTCAATAGCTACTATAAGCCAGGAACTAATTAATGATGGCTTGGATCTGAGTAGCAGAATAGGGAGTAGTGAAGAGTAGTCAGATAGATTCAGGATATGGGAAAGCTGAAAGAATATGGGCTACAAAACAGAATTCAATAGCTTGAGCAGTTGGCCTAAAAAGTTATGCAGTGACAATGCTGTTCTCCAAGTCAATTACAGGGGGAAAGAAATAAGTTTTATTGCACACTTTACTAGCTGTTCACCCAGATGCTGTGACCTGGCTTGAAGTGTAATTAGCAAAAACTTACAATCACAAGTTATAGGGATTTTGCGAATATTTAGAAATTCCAATATCATTTATACTCTTAAAAATGAACTAATAAACTATGGGTACCTCAGTGGTGGGTGTAGTATGGTAATTATGCTTGAAGGGTATGATGTATGCCCCTAAATCAAATACAGCATCATAAACCAATGTTAGCTCATTAAATAAAAAAGAATGAACAAAATGTTACTCAGTCATAAAGCAACAAAATGTTACTTTGAGTAATCACATAAACTACAAATGCAAAATTTTAAAGCTGTTTTACATGTCAGTGGAATTCTCAACATAACTTTTATTACCTGTGAAGTGTCATTTCATTTTCTTGATACAGTTCAGTCATTACTTTAAGTTTCTGCTGAAGTTTTTTAGTCTCACTTTCAAACTGTGTATTTTCTGACTGTAGAGATTCTTGTTCAGTCTGAAGATTTTTTATACACTCTACAGAAAATTTTTAAAACAATTAAAAGAGGAAATACTTCACATTGCATATTAACATTCCACAAAGATAGAAATTATTAAAAATAACAAACTATTAAATCAAATTGTAACAACAGTGAAAACCTACAAAAGGAATTTTTTTCACATAAGTGCTTTCTAACATTTTAATTAAAAAGTTACACCATGCTTTTTATTATTTTTTAAAGATTTCCCAAGCTCTTCAATACTGTAATTCTAGCATTAAAACTATCCAGAAAACTTTGCAGATCAAAGTTTTAAAGGCAAATATTTTAGCTGAACATTTGTACAACTACTTCATGATGTGAAAGCCTGTTTCGAATCTAGGAAAAAGTTTACCTGTTAATAATTAAGCTCTACCTAGCCCTCCTTTTAAACCAAAATGCTGATATACAAGTCAAAATCCAAAATTTGGATATTCTAATACAAATGCTCAAAGTTCCAAAACAAGAATGAAGAAAAAAATATCAACTTTAGTTTCATTTCAACTGCTAAATTACTTAAAAGAATCACTTCTAAAAACAAAAGCAAGCAGTTCTAATATTTTTGAGTGCTTTATAATTAATCCATCAATCATTTTTAACCGCATTTCTCTTCCATTACAATCATCTCAATTCTGGACTCTTCTAAGATTAAAGTACCACCTTTAAAACATGTATAGCAATCACCACCACAAATCTTAATATAATAGTCAATTATATCTCAAAAAGGTATATTCTAGAAATGCTACAATACTTTATATAGTATTGTAAAAATCTCACTAAAAAAAGACAAAACTGGCCCTCCCTGGTGGCGCAGCGGGTTAAAGCACAGCACTGAGAATCTAAAGCT